TCAACATGATTCATTTAAAGTATCAGTAAAGAGGATTATCTATGCTAGTAGCACTCAATATTCATAATGCCACGTCCCTTTAATACAGTTCCATCATATTGTAACGACACCCAAACTTTTATTTTCTTTCATAACTTAAAAACTTATTTTCGAATGGTGTTAGGCGACCCCTGTTAAAGGGTCGTTCGACCCCAAAAAGGTCGCTACCGGCAGGTTGAGAATTGCTAATCTACGCAATATGGCGTCGTAGTTAAAGAACCCTTTTTCGCGCCTTTATGCTTATTTAGGCAAATAGGGCTATACCTATATTATATAGGCAATTCGGTACTCTTTGGGTGATGTTTTCAGCATCAAGGCGGCCGCCTTTACATCCCAAGACTGTTACTTGTTACCCATTTAAAGTTGTGTAAATCCTGGAGCCAAGGTTATTGTTTTCTGATGCTGCTGCTGCGACTACTACTACTACCATCACTGCTTCCGCTGTTGCTCCTACTACTACTACCATCACCATCACCACAACCACCGCTACTACTTCTTCTATTACTACACTTCTACTACTACTACTACTACTACTACTACTACTACTACCATCACTACTGCTGCCACCATAACCACCACCACATCTAATACTACTACATAGCCTACATCACGACAACTCCCATCGTAGTTGCGGCAATATTCATTTTTAAGAAAAAGGGGGGGGGGTATTATTTCTACTATTATTACTGGTCGAGATTCAGAGGTCTACCACGCAGCATATGGACCGCAGAAATTTTAGAGACGCTGACAAGTACTTTATACAAAGCGAACAGAAGGGCCCGTTCCAAAGATCTTTTCCTGTCCTAACTTTGCGAGGTATTCCAGGAGTAGAGCAGTGCCACGGCAGAGGACGACGTGAATTGGCAACCCTTAAAAGACTACGCGAACTACTTCAGGTCAAAAGAGACGTCGCCAAAAAAGGAATAGTAAACCAACAGAGAACTGGTGTTATTAATCGCCATACGCTGAGGGAAATACTGAAGATGGGATCCGAGCGGCATCTGTCGATTAACTAAGAAAAAAGAATAAGAAGATTACTGGTGACAATTTTCAGCAGTCAATACATTAGAGATACGTTTCACTGTATAGAACTATACTTCTCCCTCACATACATGCCTTCCCTAATATTATCAGCACACTTGACCTCCATTAAAGCGCATTCCTATTACGTCATCATTATATGTGCACGAACCAGAAAAGACCGTTGGTAGAGGAAATCAATATAATGCAGCGCGGATCTACCAGAAAGGAAAGCAAATGCAGTGTTCGTGTTTTGCTGCGGCTGGTAGCTTCAACTGTGGCATTGGAGGAGGGGGACAACAATGAAGCTACAAGCTTTGTATTGTTGTCTTCAGCTTGGAGCACGATAATGTTGGCAAATACTCTGGGGGAATCCATTCGCGCATTTATCCATCCAAACTGATATACGTAATTCCTAAACCGGTCTTATGTTAGAATTTTATTTCAATTTAGTCCATAATGTGCCGTGTTCTGTCTGTCTTTCTTTCTTTCTTTCTTTCTTTAGAGATCAGCGTTCTTCTTTACTTCCTTTTTTACCCCTTCGAGTGTCGATAGAGATATAATTTTCTGCTGCTTCTAGTTCTTCTGACTGCCTCCATCATATAGACACACCATGCTGTTATAGATTTTCTCTGATGTTATCTTTCTATATTGTTCTTGGTCTACCTTGTTGCCTACGTCCTCCTTGTCTTTTGATACGTCTTGTATGCTATAGCGTCACGGGGCATTCTCTGAAAGTGGTCAAAGTATTGAATTTACTGTCTGTGTGTGAAATCTAGAACTGGTTTTTGTGCCGACTTCTTCTCTTATGACCTCATTACTGATCTTGTCTCTTCTGGTCATTCCTGTAGCTTTTTTTTTCAGATATTTTATTTCCATGGTTACTAATTCTCTTTTATGGAGTATTTCTTCTTCTTCTTCTTCTTCTTCTTCTTCTTCTTCCTTTTCTTCTACTTCTTCTTCTACTTCTCCTTGTTGTTGTTGTTCTTGTTGTTGTTCTTGTTGTTCTTCTTCTTTTTTTTCTTTTTCTTGTTCTTCTTCTTGTTCTTCTTTTTGTTGTTGTTGTTGTTGTTGTTGTTGTTGTTCTTATTCTTGCGTTGTGATTGCATTGTGTTGACTGAGGTGGTGGTGGGGGGGGGGGGGGCGTGAGAAAAGCTGTCCAAATAAATGGCTTGCTTTAGTGCATCTCTTGTCAGTTTCTTCAGCCATGTTTTATCTTCGCTGAATGATGTTTAAACTCGTGTATCCAGTTTGCAGATTTGGAAATTTGGTTCTCAATAGTCATGTAAAGAATAAATTAGAACAGATTTCAAACTCTTTAAGATTGGGAAGTCTGCTTGTCACGTTGGCATTTTAAAAGCTTTTAAGGATAACATAAACTTCATGTGCTGCGATCATTCAGCGAGGAAGTAAAGTCGAAGTACCTTTTGTTAACGTCAGTGGGTGTATGGAGGTTCATAGCAAAAGCTTCCAGACGACCCTTAGAGCAACTAAGCCTGGCAAATGAGATCACTTAATCTAGTTTGAGAATGGAGGCACAGGCGGTCACTGTAGCCTTTCGTCGCCATACACAGCTGTGATTGTAACTGACTCGCAGAGAATGCTGGGAAAGGTTGCCACAGGTATGCTTCATACGGAGTGGAACACGTCGCTTTGAAAACATCAGAAATATAAGGGCAGGCGTGGACTTGGACGCATCGCTTTAGAAGTTGAGGGTACTCTGCATCCGTTGGAAAGTTTCACCAGGGGATGCAGGTGTTTTAGGAAACGAACAGGCAGACAGACTTGTAGCTCTGCACCACTTGATGGTAAATTTGTCCAGGAACTAGATGTGGTCATGTCTCTCTCTGGGAGGGAGTGAACAGTGTGGAGGCACACTTCGATCATCATGGTCTGACAAACAAATATTGCAGCGGGGAGCGACTAAGGAATCTAGCCATCACTCTACACTAAAAAAATAAATACAAGACGGACGTACAATCAGACTGCTATTGGTAGACTCGGAGTTGGAACTATTTGATGGCTGCTGAAGATGGGGACGTAGCGCTTATTGGAATGTCCCGAGTACTATGATGTAGTTTGTTAAAACACACGATTCTAGACTCAAATTATTCAAGACCCAAACGACACTCGGTGGGGATGTCTTCAACGCCGGCCGTCTTTATTTCCTATGTTAAAAAGACAGAATAAGCACTTGTAGACTTGGTTCGGGTGTTGTGACGATGCTTGTGATAAACAATAACTTGAAGGCATTTCAACATGTCAAGGTCAACAGCCAGAATCGCTTGGAGATAATTAAGCCTCTGAAACAGCAGGCACAATAAATTTTAAAGTATTGACTGACACTCACATACACAGACAAAAGACGAAGCCCATCACCATGACCACTATTATCAGCATTAAAAAAAAACTTAACAGGAAAGAACAAACATCAATTTTTAGACTTCGGACAGGACACTGTGGTCTTCGAACACACCTGCACAGGACAGGCGTAAAAGAATCTGCTGCCTGTGATTGTGGAGCAGAAAGACAGACCCCTGAGCACACACTGCAGGACTGCCTTAACTTCTCCCAGCAAAGACCGTGTATCTGGAGAAGATCATTGTGAGGTGAGACATCATTGTCGAAATCTTACCAATGACGAACAAGTCTACAAACTACATTATAGCACTCCAGACACTACCATAAGCGCTCCGTCCCCATCTCTAGCAGCTAGCGCAGAGTTTCAATCACAGTGATACTAAAAACAGTCTGACTGTTATGTCCGTCTCACCCCTTCCCTGACTGTTGAACGTTGGCCAAATCCACTGGTCACTCCTCGCCCTCGCTGCACAATTCTGCTCAGACCACCGTAATCTATTTGTGCCTCTGCACTGTTTACTCGCTCCCAGGCGGCCCTTACAACATACATCTTGACAGCATCAACTGGCTCGAAGTGAGAGAATATAATGCATTAGCGATGAAAGGGTAAAAAACCCACAATGTATGTAAATGTACGTGTGAATAGTATAAATAAGATTTAAATGTACATCACAAACTACTCCCCTCCCTCTCCCCCTTTCTTTCACTACCAACAAAACTGCTACATTATACGTGTTTTGTTGTTGTAGAAACGTACATGGCTAGTTTAGTATAGAGTGGGGGTAATTGTGTTAGAGGCACACTTTTTTTTTTTTTTTGTCTGATGAAAACTGTATTTGTATACTTTCAGGTGTATTAGTTCGGTCAGGGATGAAGAGGCGAAAATACATAACTCGGTGTTTAGATTCGCTGCTGAGCGTGACCTCAGGTCTTTATTTACCCATGCAAATTTCGATACGTTTTTAGCTCCTGTCCAGTTATATCTCCATATTTTGTACCATTAACACAGTATCTCGATAGATACTACTTTATTTCAAAATCTAACAATACTTTTGTCAATAATTACAAGCTATCTTTATAAATTTGAAGAAATTTTCTGCAAATCTCGAAGGAACTTTAAGACCGAATTTGTCAAAGCCGTTCAAAATGTATTTACTAGAGTAGCGTCCCTTAATTTGATGGCTGACATTAAAATTAATACGCGAAGATTTATATAAAATTACTTTTCAAAAATACGTTTAAGCAGTAACTTATTACATTTTGTCGTTAAAATTTTGATTTGCTATTTAAAAATTATACTAACGTTAGTTTTTATTTTGAATTGAGAAGATAAGCTTGTGGTTGCGTGGCGGAAGCAGTTCCGGTAAATGCAGTTATTTATACGATGTTTGAGCAGGTCTTGTATCAGTCCTACAAGCTCGGGCTGGCGGCGAGTTATTGTTGTATGATGCGAACACAGCCTGTCGACTGCTACTTTCTTGTGTTTTTGTCTCGTCGTTACTACACCTTAACTTCTGCCAACCATCTTATTAAACATTTCGACGGCGGAACTTGTGAGTACGTCGGTAGTGGAATATTTAATGGCTGAAGAATCACCGATGATGATGGACAGCAGTTCAGTGATGATGGTCGCCCACCAAGAGGGAGAAGAAATCAAAGTCGATGCCGAATTTGGTGAATTCGATGACTGTTCCAGCGGTAGCGACAGGTCGTTCGATGATGTCGACAGTAACGGTCGGTGTGAGACCGGGACTAATGCTAATCAGGGGATTAATGAACACGCCAGGAGTCGCAGAAGACGCCGCCATGGTAGCAGACGCCACAAAGGAGGTAGCCGACACAAGCATAAGGGATACCAACCTTACCCTTCCAAGGAGGAGATCGAAGGCCAGCTGAAGAGGAAATCTTTAGAGCTGCAGGAGAAAGAGAATGCTGCAGCGGTTGTGCGCCGAGAAGGAGCCGACCAACAGTTTATCACTTTTCCAATTGCGCCTTTCAACTCAACCCAGTTTCTCATGGATGAGCATAATGCTAATTCACCAGCCAGTCTTCACAAAACTTCCAGCAGTTCAGTTTTAAACTCCTGCTCTCCGCAAGGCATCAGGCTGAACTCGGTACCTTCCACTCCTGCTGAATCAAGCCATGAAACGATTGTCTTCGAGAAAAAGGACAAAGAGTTCAGTGATTACTTCACCACTGTTCACGCCGAGAGCTTGCAGAGCCTTCCGAAAGATGAACTCGTAAAGCACTATATGAATTTGGAAGAGAAAGTTGCAGCCTTGCAGAAAAAGGTTGCAGAGCAGCAGCAGCATCAATATGACGACTGTTGTTCGAAAATGTCTAGACATATTGTTAAAGTATGTGTTTGTGAATCGATCCGTAGTAATTTAGGTACAAATTCGTTAGCCGCAAATATGGAGGACTTCACTGGTGTCTCCGAGATGAATACGTCTTCCATTTCCGTAGGCGAATCCAGCATGCTGAACACCATAGCAATTCCGTCGAGTACTTCTGGAGATACATGGACAGTTTTTGCCGAAAGTGCTTCCTGATCGACTCCGCAGACGTCTAGTAGACTTCGACTTATTGTTAATTAATTCTGTTGGTGCCCAAAACATGGAGCAGACTTGTTGTCAAAGGCAAGCATAACACAAACACCCTGTGCTCTTTCAGTCAGATGAAACGTGCATAATCAGCATTTGTGGTTGCCAGTTTTACCGGTTGTCATTTGGAATAATTGAGTGCCATATATGTGTATGGTTAGAAACATTTATGCATTTTGTTCATTGACCGCAGGAAACCGTCTGTTATGTATTATCTAAATATTGCTGTCACAAAACAATTTTTCAAAACAGAACTATTTTTGTTTTAAAATGTGTCATAGGAAGAGTTTAGTTTGTTGCAGATCCTTCACCTGGTATTGCAGAACCAACCCCAGCATATTTTGGCTGTTAATAATTTCACTTGACAATTTTGTATTTAGTAGTTTGCCATTGCTTTCATAACGGTTGGTTCTTGATGCCGCTGTCAAATCCAACGCAAGATGAACTGCTGCCAAATTACCAGCTGCTAGGATCAAACCTGGCACCTTGGAATTACAAAGCATATTTACAGAGGACAAAAAGAGAGGGGTAAGAAACACTGAGATGGAACAGCCGCAGAATTTCAAAATAAACAGTATTAAAGAGAATTATTGGGACTCCTTTGAACGGCAACCATAGGGGGACACAATCTATTGTAACTTGACATTTCCTTAATTACTGACTGTAGGGAACAGAATCCATTCTTTGTTTCATTTCACAAAACATTTTTTTATATTCAATATTGTTTGAGATTAGGGTTAGGGCTAACACTAACCTGAAGCAATATTAAATATTACACAGCATCATTATGTGAACGTACACAAACAATAGTGTCCCGCCTAGGGTTGCCATTTTCGAAGAAGCGCCAAATTATTGATAGCTTTTTATTACAGTATTGTGTCCGCAGATGAATTGATAAATAATATTTGGAAATTGCAAGGTGCTAAAAGTAGCATTATCACTGCCATCAGAAAAGCATTTGGTATGATAAAGACATACAATTTTATTTTAGTTAACATAATGTGAATGATTTAACAACTGTTGTGTTGACTAATAGAACAGTCGTACCATGTTGCCCCCAAAATAAGAGTTTTATGTAAATTTTTGCTTCAGAAAATGTAGTAGAGCCTATTTTCAGGGGCATGTTTTTTTCTTTTTCTCAGATATAAAAATCTGCATCTGTTTGTGTATGGTAGCAACAAAAATTATGTTACAAGAACGATAGCACACAAAGAAAATAACTGGTCCCACAGTATTGATTTTTTAATTCACATCTGACATAACTTGAATTATGAACCATATCTGCTCATTTAGTGTGCCCCAGTGGCATCTGTCCTCCGACTGGCCATGCAGCAAGTCTAATATTAAAAGCTTTTGGAAAATTTTGCTAGGATATTGGGGGGGGAAGGGGGGGGGGGGAAGGGGGTCTGTTTTCGCTTTCATGTTTGTTGTTTTAAAAAAATAGGAGCTGTCCTATATAATCGAGCCGGAAAATATACCCTAACAGGGTCTCAGTCACATGTCAGTTGCGTACTTTCGGGGACTATAACGCCACCGCCGGATTGCGAACTTCCGGCGACTTCCGCCACCGCTGAGAGTATCCCCCACGCCGCGTGAAGGAAGCTCCAGGAGATGCTGCTCGTGAGTCCCTGTCATCTAGTTTAGTCCCAATTCACTCTGCTTAGATACTCTCGGCGGTGGCAGAAGTCGCCGGAAGTGCGCATTTTAAGATGACAGAAGTGCTAAATGGACACGTGACTGAGGCCCTGTTAGGTTATATTTTCCGCCCTGATAATTTAGGACTGTTATTCTGAGGATAGCCAAAATATGTTAGACATAGCTCCTGGGACTTAAGTTGGTGTGCAGACTACAGTCGTGTAGAATCATCTTTTGTCTTCCCACTCGGTACAGCTTGACGTCTCTCCACATATCTGTGACTTTGGTGTTCTGGATCAGTTTTTTAATATTCTTTCATCCTAATTCCTATAGCATGCATCGTTTTTATTGGCCTGATGCTGATCTTTTGTAGATTCGCTGTGCTGCAATGCCTTTAATCTCATGAGGGCCAGCATAAAACTAGTCTTGTCGTGCCCTATTCTGCTCCATTCCTGTGACAGTGAAATCACACAAAATGTCCTTCACTGTCCCTTTTGAAAACTAGTGAAAAACTTGTCCCAGGAAAATCATGAAGCTTGCACTCACTAAGTAGTAATGCATAAGGTGGCTGTCAGATATGCTGACACCAACAGTTCTATGCCAGCATTGCATCTTGTGACATGACCATGAACTCTGCTTCTTTCTTATAGTTGCATGCAATGTTCCACTCATCAGATCTTTCTAGACAATCATTAAACTGGTAATTTATGCAGGCAACATTTAGAAATGTGTGGCAGCGAGTCTTGAAATTTCAATGAACAAATTAAGAATTTGGAAGCAAGAGAGGTGGTTTCTGAGACGATTGTTACGAATACCTTGGATGGCCAGATAACTAACAATGATTGTTGTTCTCAGATTATGTAGAATGTGTTTTTCTTCTTCTCGTTCTTATTTTGTTTATCAGTTGTGGGTATTGTAAATCGTTTTCCTACTGGTATATAGGGCACAGGTTTCCTAAATGCTCAGATCATGTAGGATGTTTTATTTTCTTGTTGATCTTATTTTAATCAGTTGTAGGTAATGTGACTAAATCGATTTCCCACTGGTATTTAGGCCACATGCACAGTAGTGGCGTGGCGTGGCTTGGTGATATCTCTAGTTCTGATGTATTTTTCACATTCACTGGCTATAAACTCTTGTAGAAAGCTGTGGTTGTTCATCCACTTCTGGGCTTTTGTTCCAGGACTTGAGGTTTGCATACACATCCATTTTACAGATCTGGCTTATTTCTGTGCAGACTGTTGATCCCTTCCCTCTCAGGCAGATGTGCTTTGACTCTGAGGAAAACTTGGATCCTATATACTTTAGCCAGGCCCCCCTCGTCCAGTTTCTAAGATGACCACAGAGAGGTGTAGATATATCTTGATCAGTGAAAGCGCTGGTCCTGCTTCACCACCACGTGTTGTTCAGCAAGTCTGCATCTCCTGTTCTGCTATGAAAGAGAATCAGTGTTCAGCTTTATCAAGAGTCATATGTCTGTCTGTCTTGTTTTATTCTCTTGCTGGGTCATTAGTTTTATTGAGACGTGTGTTCCTTTATCTGCTCTTTCATTACTTAGTTTACTACATTGAACAGTTTCCCTGCTGGGTCTTTAGTTTTATTGTGACGTGTGTTCCTCCATCTGCTCTTTCTTTACCTAGTTTACCACATTGAACAGTTTCCCTGCTGGGTCTTTAGTTTTATTGAGACGTGTGTTCCTCCATCTGCTCTTTCATTACCTAGTTTACCACATTGAACAGTTTCCCTGCTGGGTCTTTAGTTTTATTGAGACGTGTGTTCCTACATCTGCTCTTTCATTACTTAGTTTACCACATTGAACAGTTGTCCTTTATGGCAGGGCTAATTCACTTGTTTGCTGCCCACAGAGTTATAGCAGGTGTCCCGCGAATCCTTTCCAGTTGTATCATATTAATGGTATTTCTATGCTGCGTCTCAGGCCTCTGGCCCATGAACATCATAATTTTTGGCCTCTGAGTAAACTTGTTACATAGCTCTGCTTTGTGGTTGTTTGATCTGTGGTAGTTTGCCAATGATCAGAGCTTGTAGAACCACAAATATTTTCAATATCAAAATCCTCGTAATGACAAAGAAAATTTTTTTAAACTATGACCATAAATGCAGTTCTGTGCCTGCAGTAAGGGGTTGCTTCTTAACTTAATAGATTTCAGTTTTAATGAACGTAATACATTTTTATGATTTTTAAATATATAATTTGAAACACAAAAGTCTTTTAAAAAAAAAAAACAGTATATAATCTGCTTTCTCATTTTGCTAGAAATACTTGTTAGATATTTGCCCCAAGTGAGGCTCAAATTTTTCTATGTTTAACACAGAGAAGTCTAGAAAGCTTAAGAAAGTTATTACTGTTAGTTTTGCTGATATATCTCTACTTCATTTGTAATTGAAAGATATTACAGTCAAACCTGCTTTGCGCTTCTTGGGCGGCTTAGATGATGGATTTGTTTTGCAGGTTTTGGCTACACCATTTATCCGTTTCTTTGTCTTCCTCTCGCCTTTCTCCCAGATGTTCTGCTGTAAAAAGTCTCATATTCAGTTTGGTCTGGCTGTATTCTCACTAGATGGCCGAACATTTTCATTCTTTGTCAGTACAATTCACACATGGTCTTATTCCAACTTTCTCTCTAATGCTGCTATTCGTAACCCTGGTCCTTCTTGTGTTATTTGAGAAACTCTTTTGGTCCCTGGAGGGACAGTTATTATTACAGTCCAGTTGTCGCAGATTCCTTTCAACACAAACTCTTGATTTTTGGTCACTTGAAATTCATGTTGAGGTTTTAATGTATAAAATTTTGCTCAGAAAAATAATATTTCTATAGTTTGTTTAACTTATCAGTGTATCAAGGCATGTTTAGGTTACCATACCAGAAGGAATAGGATAGAAGAGGAAAGATCATCTTATGCCTTGCCACATAATCTCGGGCCTTTGTTTTATAGATCCAATTTCTAAATGAGCACGCCTGATTTCAGATAACAAAGAATTCTAAAGGAAGTTAAAATTGGGCGGTCCGTGTTTTATAACCGGTCAGTGGTGAATTAAAAACCTTCACTTGTCATACGTTGATTGGGCCACACTGTTGAAACATATTAGCGCATGATGCGTTTCCTGGGACTCAAAGAGTTAATAGCTGTGTACTATCAGATCAAAAGTTCAGATTATATTTGGATTTTTTTGCTTATCTTATATTGGCAGTCATTCTTCTTCTTGTTAGCTGGTTGTGTACTTCAACAGAAAGTCCTGGTTGTTCAACCACTTCTGGACTTAGAGATTATTCTAGAACTTGAACAATGTTTTA